CGATGTTCGTTCACCAGTCTTCTTGTAGTGAACACTGCTCAACCCAGTTCATTGCTGGTTTACCAGCCTTCTTGTAGTAAGCACCGCTCGCCTCGGTTCGATGTTCGTTCACTATCCAGGGTATTTTAAGCATTGTTCTGTAATACCACATCTCTGAGGCTTCAAGAAATTGTTTGGCCTGCCTACCGATTGTCCAGGATATACAGCCATATGTTAACACTGTATGTATGTAGCAAGCAAGAATTCTTTTTCTAACCTTTAATTACAAAGATATATTGCATAAGATGTTCTTCATTTTTATAAAAAGCAGTTTTTGCCTGTCCTATTATGTTTCTTATTTCAGTAATGCATCTTCCATCTGATGTTATCCATGTGCCCAGATACTTAAATTTCCGTACTTGTCCCAAAATAAAACCATTGACTTTTATTACACATTTAGGAGTAATTATTTTCTTTGATACCACCATTACTTCTGTCTTCCCAATATTCACACTGAGGCCCATTCTTCCACTTTCGTGTTTAAAATAGATCTAAAAAGAAAACATCCATAATGTCAAATTTACGCTGACATTTTACATCACACAATGTAGTACATAATAGTAAACATTTAAATACATTTCATGTTTTGCATTCTTCAGTCAGTCAGTCTATGGTAACTTATACATAGGAGTGAAAGTATTCTTAGTTTTATAACAAGTAACTAAACTTGTAAATTGTTACTGACAGCTTAATTAATCCATGAAAGCGGCATTAGCTTTCCACACACAAAAAATCGTTCCATGTTGTCAGCATTAAGGCAGCTTCTTGTCTCACGTATTTCCAGCTGTACACAGACGTTCACTTGGTACGCTCGTAGGTGGTGCACAGAGATAATGCTTGACAATATGAACCAACGTGGGAAATCTTGGTATGTTTAATTTCTACCAGTCCAGGAACGGGTGTAAGGTAACCACTATTCGTATTCGGCCCGAACGCAACTATTCGGCCGAATACCGAATAGTTATTAGGTCCACTATTCGGCCCCGAAGCGAATATTCGGTACAGCCCTAATACATGGGCGCGCGCACACACACACACACACACGCGTGCGCGCGCATACATGCATACATGCATGCACGCACCAGTCTTCTTGAAGTAAGCACCGCTCGCCCCAGTTTATTGCCTGGACACCAGTCTTTTTGCAGTGAGCACTGAACGCCCCATTTCGATGTTGGTTCACCAGTCTTCTTGTAGTGAGCACCGCCCTCTCCAGTTCGATCACCAGTCTTCTTGTAGTGAGCACCGCTCACTCCAGTTCCCCTCCACCCCTTTGCGCCCACACTTTCTCTTGCCAGGGACGATTGATCCATCTGTGTAAACCGCAGAATCATTTATATATGTGTTCTCACTAATAAACGCATTGTCTCAACTGTCGATGCAGCTTCTTTCCATGGTGATATGTACTGTTGTACTGCCGATGTTTAAAGCAGTAGGCAGATGTGTCCATTCGTCTTCAAGATGATGCCCGAAAGGCAATAAATCAGCCAAATGGCATCCTCAGCACGACCTATCCAATATTTGCCTCTTGTCTGTTATTTTTAGGTACAAGCTAGATATTGCGAGGGCCCTTCGAGAACGAGTGAACAGTGAAGAGCAGATAGATCATTACGGTTTGAGTAGAATGGCGCTGCGAGGAGTTACCACGAGATCTGGTCGATGCTCAACACTCAGGGAAAAGGATGAAACAGACGTAAAATCAGACAGTTACTGGTACCATCGGAATTAGAACTCTTCACTTGCTGCTGAAGATGGGGACAGAGCACTCAAGGGGGTGTCCCAAGGGCTGTGATGACGATTCTTAATTCAACACGTTCTTTTTAAGTTTAACACTTTATCATGAGACTGGTGTCGCGGGTCTGATTTCACCATTAAGAATGACAAAGTAAGCTAATGAAGGAACTCACTTCTTAACGATCACCAGCTGGAAACTCCGATGGAAAGTTCTGATTTTCATCCACTTACTGACTTTGGTCTTGTTACAGAGCTTCAGTTTTAAGTGCACATCCATTTCACAAATGTGGCTTAATTGTACACAGACTATTGCTTCCTCGTCTCCTAACCCCCCCCCCCCCCCCCCCCCCCCCCCCCCCCCAAATCAAAATGAGGTCCAGGAACTCAAACTATTTTTGAAGAATCTGCATGCTAGCCCGCAACACTTCAGTAACTCTATCATCAATAATTGTAACCATCATTCAAATAAAGTGGGGGGGGGGGGGGGGGGGAGAGGCCGCAGAGTAAGGGAGAGAGGGTGAGAGAGAATTGGGGGGGGGGGGTGGGGTGGTGAGAGGCAAAGAGAGACAGAAAAAGGGGGTGGGGGAGAGACTATTTATAAAAGGGGGGGGGGGTATTTATAAACAGGAAGGTCAATCCATTAGTGGGTAAATATTTTCCTGTTATTATTCTGCCAGGGTTGCAACATTATTAGTCTACACTCAGGAATGTCCAACTGCTGTGATGATGT